AGAGGGCGAGGTCAAGTCTATGAAAGCCCAACTGAAATGCTGTGAAAAGAAAAATGTAGACCTAGAGAATCAAATGAAAGAAGAGGTCGAGTCCATGAGAGCCAAACTGGAAGGTCGCGAAAAGGAAAATGCAAAGCTAGAGAATCAAATTGCCGGTGTTCGAGAGGAGAATCGAAAATTACGAGAAAATATGGAGCCTGAGCGTTTGACGGATATCCACAAGAGCGAATGGAAGACTGCTCTCAGGGACATGTTGGTCCATTTTAAAGAGGAATGGTCGAAAGAGTTTTCGACATCCAAAGAACACGAGGAAAAAATGGATCTATTGTTGTCGAAACTTGAAAAGGATAAAGATGAAAAATTTGACAATTTAATGTCAAGGTTGCCCACTTTCAACGTGCAACTCATTGGCGACGCGCTGTATCAAAAACTCGAAGGACTGATGAATCGTATCATTACACACGAAGAAATGACTGAAATGTTGGGCATGTTTAAAGTAGAGGCTCATTTCGAATCGCTCAAAACAAAATTGAAAACTTATGTCACAGCAGATGTAGCCTACACTGAATTGGAAACTGAAATTAGTCACAGCCAGCAAAATATTATGGGACTGGCGAGAGAGTTGTTGCGAAAAGTATCGGTGGGATTGGGTAATAATTTACCGGTCATCCATTTGTCTAATCGCATCGACGAGTTGCAACAGCATCTCACAGAAAGCAATACTCAACTGGCTCGCATCGATAAGGATTCCAAAATTACTCAGTATTTAAAAATGCATTTTGCAGAGATTGGATACGGAGAGAATTGGCAAGAGCAATTGATTGAGCTGATTGAACGATACAAAAAATTCCAAGCCGATATGGTGGAACAATATCAGCGGGTTAGAAACAGTGTGGCGCAACGGCTTCTAGTCGAAATACCCATGATAACGAGTGAGGAGACCGAACCTAGACTAGATTTAATGTTACTTTTTAGACCTTTGGAGGCTGAAAATGTGAATTTAGTAACGACCAATACTGCGTTGCAGCAAGACGTACAAGTGACGCTTTCGTCTATCCATGAACGCATGGGCACACTGAACCAAACCGACCATTTACAAAATTATATTCAATCACGTTTCATGGATCTACAGGCGCGTTTGGAGACCCTGCAACTGCAATGGGTTGAAAGACCCCAGATTGAGGAAGTGCCAGAGGCTCAGCCCAATTCTGATGTCATGTGTATTGAAAATGGATCGCAACAGGCCTTACCGAGTACCGCCCAATTGGCCATCGAACATGCACCAGAACAAAATGAAGACATACAAACATTGAAAGGTGTTTTGGAAGCTGTTTTACACGTGACACTCCCCGAGGATGTGGCCCGATGGGAGTCGCTCATCAGAGAAGAAGTTTCAAATTTGAACAATCGATACCAATCAGCGAATACCGAAATAAGTAAATATACCTCCCATTTAAACACATTGAAAGTTGTTTTGGAAAAAGTCTATGACGAGAAATTTTCTATGTATTTTGATGAATGGGGCGCTCAAATCCAAGACATAATGTCGAAAATGAAAAACACAATGTCGAAAATGGAAAAAGAATGCGAATCAGCAAATAAGGCATCAAACGTTTCACAAAATGTAGAAAAACACGCGAACGAATTGAAAAAAGCTATAAAAGAAAAAGACTCCAATGTAGAAACCTTGAAAGGTGTTTTGGAAAAGGTCTATGGTGTGACATTTTCTGACGATATGAGTCAATGGGGTGATCAAATCAAAAGCAAAATGTATGGAATGAAAGCTGAATTCGACTCTGTGAATAATACAACATTGAGTAAATACAACTCCATTTCAGAAACATTGAAAGGTGTTTTGGAAGATGTCTATGAGGATGAATTTTCTAGTGACTTGAGTCAATGGGAAATCCAAATCAGAAACAAAATGGGGAAGATGAAAAACGATTACGACTTGGTGAATGATAAATTTGCTAACTACGTCTCCGGTTTAAAGACATTGAAAGGCGTTATGAAAAAGATCTATGGTGAGACATTTCCTAACGATTTGAAGCTATGGGGTGATTATATCCAAAACACAATGTCAAAAATGAAAAACGCGCTGTCGAAAATGGAAAAAGAACGCGAATCAGCAACTATCGCATTAAATGAGCTTACCGCCTCCTTAAAAGATGAGAAAGAAATCAGTGAAAAGTCAAAACGGCGCCTCAATGTTTTACAAAATGAAGAAAAACGCGCGAATGCATTGGAAGAGTCTATAAAAGAAAAAGATGAGACGTACAAGGTTAAAATGGGTCAGCTCGAAAAAACCATACGCGAAAAGGACCAGGAATTGAAAAATCAACATGATGAATGTAGTCGTGTCATTGAAAATCTTAATGATAAAATTGGGTGGCGGGATGGTGAAATCAGTCGATTGAATGCCTCTGTCAGCAGTTTGGAAACAGAACGAAGCAAACTGTCGGAAGATTTGGAAGCGGAAAAAATGCAAGTGTGTGAAGATTCCCTCGTTGAATCCCTCTCTGAATTGAAAAAAGAAAATGAAATGAAACAAGATCAAATTACTGAAAATTTGAGGAATATTGAAACGCTAAAGTCGAGAATAGAAAATTTGACACCGGCCATCGCGACTTTAAATTCAGAAAAGGAAAAATTGGTACAAGATGTAGCCTCAAGGGAATCACGATACGCCGATCTCCTTCGGGAAGCGGAAACATTCAAGAACGAGACCAACGCCAATCTTCGAAATTTTACCGATAATGCTCGTAAGGAATTAAGTCAAAAATTTTCTAAAGAAAAAGCAGAGTTGAAAGAGCAAATAAAAGAGAAAATGAGTGAAATTAAAAAATGTGAGGCCAATCTCAAAAGTACAAATGACGAAAAACAAAACTGGGTCGCGGAAAACGGAAAGCTGCAGGAGCAACTAAAAGAGAAAACGAATAAAATTGAAAAATGTGAGGAGGAACTCAAACAATTAAATGGCGTAATTGAAAAATCGGCCCAAGAAAAGGAAACCGATAAAAAGAACTTTAACGCAAAAGTCGTTGAATGTGACAATTGTAAAACCAATCTCGAGAAGATAAGGGGTGACGTCAAGAATTTGACCCAAGAAAACGCTACTCTCAAACAAACGAAGGAGGAAAACACGAATGCGCAAAAATCGATGTCTGAGGAATTGCAGCGATTACGTGAGGTGGAGAAAACGCTGACTCAAAAAATAAACGAGAGAATGGTTCCTGAATCCATACAGAAATTGCGGCGGGATATCGATACTCTAAACGAAAAAAATTCAAACTTGCAAAGAGAAATAACCCACTTAAACAATTCAAAGTTGAAACCGGAGGTAGAGGTAAAGGGAAAACGCAAGCGCGTGGCAGCAGATGAGGAAATAGAAACAGATAAGGAAATAAAAAGTGAAAATTTGAGAAAGGAGCATGAGCGGTTGCAAAAGAAATATGACGCCATTGAAAATAGCAAAATAACCATGGCTCAAATGACCCAGTTGTTTGCATTATTTTATCGAAATGTGTTTTCAATGTATTTACATTTTAAATGGAATCTCATTCTCTCACTTCCAGAGAAACTAGTGCTCGAAATACGAGAAAAATTGAACCGTTTAAGGGAAGTAGATGTTAACACAAAGAAGCCAAGTGCAATTATGAAATTATTGCTTTCGTACGTCCGATACGATTTAAAAACTATAATTGATGATGAAACCGATATAATGCAATTGATTAGGCATGGTGATACCGTTTATCCAGATCTTGAAACTTTACTGCTCAAAAATTTGGAGAATACAAAGGATTATATTGACGAGGTGGCAAAGAATCTAGTTCAATTTGGCAAAATATCCAACAGTGACACCATGGACGTTCAACAGACAGAGTAAAAAAAAAAAAAAAAAAAAAAAANTTTTTTTTTTTTTTTTTTTTTTTTTTTTTTTTTTTTTTTTTTTTTTTTTGACGTCGTAGTTTAAAGCCAGGCGTTGAGTCTTGATGATCTCAGACTCGTCAGAATTTCTTGAAGCCCTCAACTCGCAACTTTAGAATTTCTTGGAACTCACAATTTTAGAAAGTTTAAAAATTTCCTGAAGCCCAAAGTCCTTAGACCATATTAGTTCAAACGCCCAAAAGTCAAGGCGTCCACCACCATTGTCTCGCCTTACAAAACCAATAACACAGATCAAAAACATCGCTAAACCATTCCAAAAACAACCACTTTTTGATGTAGCTCAGGAAAAAAGCAATAAATATTAGTATATTTATGATAAAAAATAGCCATAAATACCACTTTCTTGTTATTAGCATGCATAACGCAATAGCGCCTGTCGTATAAGCAGCTGTAGCCATCAACGTGCCAATGACTAAACGATCCATCCCAAAGGTTTTTCTTGAATCATATACAAACGCCACTCCTTAGGCGTCACATTTTTGTATAGTGTATGCCATGTAAGTTTTATATAGGCGTGGTAAAACCGATGATTCCAACAAACAAAAACCATAATCGCACACAACAGTATGACAATCATCTTTCTTCAACGTAAAACAAAGGCATGAATATCGGACGTGATCAAAATGAATCTATTGTAAGGCGACGTCGAAGAGCTAAAATGGCGAGAATGGAGGTCGACAACAATGATTCGGAATTAGACAAGGGTGAAACTAAAATTTTTGTCGAGATTCCAAGTGAAATCAATCCCGATGTATCCTCTGACAAACCGAAAAGTCGCCGTAGACCTTTCCCAGCGGTACCTTATGAATTTGAGGTAAGCAGGGATGATTATTCCGATTTCGCGATTCCCGCTTTAAAAAGGCGTCGTTCCATTGAAGAAGCTCCAAATCCTTCTGAAGAACCACCCTCTAATGACACTGGAAACCCTTCCGAGGGACAACCCATGGATGACACTGTAAATGCTTCTGAAGAACCGCCGACCAATGGCACTGGAAATCCTTCTGAAGAACCTCCCGCTCATTATCCGAGCAGAAGATCGTATTCAAAGTATTATCCGGCACCTCACAAATTCAAATTTTACGGCGGCAGATTGTCCCATTCATCCCAGGAAACCTTGCATGTTGCTGTTGAACAATTTCAACGCGGAGCGATTTCACTGCCTGTACGCGAATCGATCCATCGTTTGGAAATCTTACACGATAGATCAATCGTGTGATATACCTGAACATTTTGATGAAATGATGAAAATGAAAGAATGGTTGGGGAGTCAATACGTGTTGCCGTTTTCAGGTCATCTGCGAGAATCATCCGGTTACACGATCGGCATGTTTCGACAGGCCATTGATTTGTATCCACCCAGTAAATTGCAGCGTGTTTCCTTCAAAGAGTGTGCCTATGCAACCATTGTATTATTTTGTGCCACCTGCCATCGATTGGGGGGCGCGGTTCCAGATTTAAAACATTTTTTGTTTTTATACACGGAAAGGCATCCCGTTTTGTGTGATATGGGAAGTCATAACGTGGAGAATCGTATTCGGTTAAAAGGAAACACGCCTCACTTGAATGAGAAGAAATGGAGACGATTTATGGAAAAGAAAACCGTACGAGACGTTATTCGATATCTCAAATTGGAATTTATGAACATGTTTAATCAAAAGAAAAAGAAGGGTCAACGATGCATTTTGAATGAGACTGAAGAGGTATTTGACACGGAAACGCATATGCTATTGTGTCAAAGTAATCAAAAGAACCTAATTCAAGTATTGCGAGACTTTGCACATTTGATGCCAGACGTTCACTTGACAGAAAATATCATTTTGGAATGGGTCAAAAAACTTGGCTACAACACAACGTAAAAAAAAGGCCCTCAACTCGCAACTTTAGAATTTCTTGGAGCTCGCAACTTTGGAATTTCTTGGCTCAAGTTCAAACGTCAGCAGCATCGTAAAAAAAAAAAAATATTTTTTTTTTGACGTTGTATTTTAAAGTCAGNTCAGACGTTGAGTCTTGATGATCTCAGTCTTGTCAGAATTTCTTGAAGCCCTCCAACTCGAAACTTTAGAATTTCTAGAGCCTCGCAACTTTAGAATTTCTGGGGCCTCGCAACTTTAGAATTTCTCGGAGCTCACAACTTTAGAATTTCTCGGAGCTCACAACTTTAGAATTTCTTGGAGCTCACAACTTTAGATAATATTGGTGCAAGTTCAAACGTCAATAACTTCGTTAAAAAAAAAAAAAAAAAAANTTTTTTTTTTTTTTTTTTTTTTTTTTTTTTTTTTTTTTTTTTTTTTTTTTACATTGTAGTTTAAAGTCAGGTTTTAATCTTTGCTCGTCCATCTCAAAAATTTTCCGGAGCCATGTGTATAGTTAATAAAGCCAACTATGGCAGAAGATTACAAGACGCTTGTACTGCATTTACTCTCCAAAAGGCAATATCCCATACTGAAGGATATCGTTGTCATGGATATTCATTACAAATTGTTACCAGAAAATGCAAAATTTGACGTGGTTCATGCATATGACAAACGTACACATGATGCCACGTACATGCTCTCAGAACACACGGATCCCTTTCGCTTTTCCTATCTCGTCGGCAATGAAAACATGTTTTATGTACATGAAACGGATCATTTCGACACTATGTTCTTACCGCTCCACTGTCAACGCGTCAAATTGAATCGCTATTACGTGGACGTGATCCAAAATCAAACGAGTGACACCTTTGAAGAAGAACTATACCATT